CCTAGAATGCAGAGGCTGACATGGTGACTCAACAGGCTAATCTTCTGCCTGAAGCACCAGAATCCCATATGGGCACCAGTTCATGTCTGGCTGCTCCACTTCCAATTCAACTCCCTGAATATGACTGGGAAAGTAATGGAGGATGGTCTAAGTCCTTGGGCTCCTGTACGTACATGGGAGTCCTCTGGCCATGATGGTCATTTAGGGAAAGAAGCAGTGGATGGAAGATTGTTCTCTTTGTCTGCCTCTCCGTCTGTCTGTAAAGCTGCATTTCAAAGAGACAAAAAAAAAAAAATCCTGGCATGCAAAGGCCTGTAAGCCTGGAGTTGTGACGGCCAAGGCAGGGTCCAGCAAGGCTCAGCTCTTGGAGTTCGAGTTGCTTTCTATCTTCAGTCCCTCCAGACTCCCAGCCAATGGGTAGTGCTACCTGTGTGGAAACAGGGTCTTCCTACCTCATCCTCACATGCTCACAGGAGAATCTCATCTGGAAATCTCCTCACAGACATTCTCACAGCAATGCTTTCCAGTTTTCTAGGCACGCCTTAATCCAGTACAGTAGACCCCATAAAATTAACTCTCACACTCAACTCTACAGGAGGTATCGTCAATTCCAGGTGGCACTGTCATCTAGGTGGAGTTAGTATCGGTTGGGATGAGAAGGAGGTTGGGAAGCATCCAGGCAGCAGGTAGGGGAAGGCTTCTTTTTGTTCCCCAGCCTCAGTTTTTCTAGGAGATCAAAGCAATTGTTCATGCATTTATTTGGGAGCCTCTAGTGTGCCGGGCAGTGCCCTGGGCAGTAAGGGGAATTGCTTCTGTCCTGTAGGGTGGGGTGGGGAGTGGTCAGGAGGAAGCATGTGGAGAGGTCAGGTTAGAGTCCCTGTTCAGCCCTTACCCTGGCCCTGATGTCCGGTGTATGCATGGATGGCCCAGCATGTACCTCCACATACCTCATTGCTGCATGTGCGTAGCTGACCCTGGGTACTAGGCCTTGTGTTTAGTGTAGGAACTGAGCTTAGGGCCTGCAAGTGCTAGCACAGGGATCTAAGCAGCTTGGAACAATGATCAAGATTCCAGGCATGAGCAGCTGAGTAGAAGGTGGGTCTGTACACAGCTGCCTCTGCACAAAAGGAGTGAGCTGGCTGGATGTCTGTAGCCCCAGGAAGGGGCAGACTTGTGGACCCAAGATAGCAAGGCCTTTGAGTTGAAATGTAGCCCACTCTCCAGAGAAAATGACCCTCCCTAATTACCCCTGAAGACTAGAGCAGTTGGGTACTTTTCTTTTTGTAAGAAATCCCCCTAGAGGAATGCTTCTGCAGTTGGCATGGCCTGGGGGTGTAGCCAACGTCAGTGGGACAGTGCCCGAGATGCTGTGTTCATGATGCTTACTCCTAGAGGATGTTGAAGTCTCTGCCCTGTTGCATTGCTGCTCTGCGGGCCACACTTTGAGCAAAGGCCTAGAATCTACTTGGTGACCTGGAAGCTTAGCCACTCTCCCTTGCTTTTGTAGAAGGCATTCAGTTCCATTCACCATCTATAGTGCATTCTCTTTTCTCCAGGGACTTGAGTAGTTCAAGAATATAGCCCCAGTGGATTTATGCTTGTCTCAGCATTTAATTATCTAAATGTTGGGGCTTGTGCTGTGGCATTGCAAGCTGATCTTCTATATGTGATGTCAGCATCTCATATGAGTACTTGTTCAAGTCCCAGTGACTCTGCTTGTCATCCCAGCAGCTCCCTGCTAATGTGTCTGGGAGAGAAGTGGAGGATGGCCCAAGTGCTTGGGTACTGTACCCATGTGGGAGACCTGGAAGGAAGCTTCTGGCTTCAGATCATTTCAACTCTGGCCTCTGAAGTCATTTGGGCAGTGAACCAGCACATGAACGATCTCTGCCTCTTCTTCCCTTTTGTAGCTCTGCCTTTCAAGTAAAAACAAATATAAATCTTTTAAAAGAAGCATCTTGTCATGCTTTGAGAACAGCTTTAGGGCAAAGTGACAGGAGTCATGTCCCATCAGGGTCTGCTGAACTCGATGTTGTTACAGCACACTGCCTTGAGCCACTCGTCTCGGTGTATGTTGTATAGCACATCTTAGCAAAGACTCTTTGTAATCTAATCAAAGAGGACAAGCTTATGTGTTACCTTCACTGAGTTGATAATGCTCAGCCTCTTTCTGATGAATTCCAGAGCAGAAGTATGAAAGGAACTATATGCAGGCTTTGGATTTAGCTATCACTTGGTAAAGCATGTCATTTGAGTACTTCAAGTTCAAAGACAATCATAGAAATTAATTATTTTTATAGATCATTATCTTTTACTATTTTTAAAAGGAGACTTATTTATTTGAAAGGTAGAGTTAAAAAGAGACGTCTTTCATCCCCTGGTTCACTCCACAAATGGCCTCAATGGCTGCACCTGGGCTGGGCAGAGCCAGGAGCTTCTTCTGACTCTCCCGTGTCGGTGCAGGGACCCGAGCAGATGGGCCATCCTCTGCTGCATTCCCAGGCACATTAGCAGGGAGCTGGATCAGAAGCAGAGCAGCTGAGACTTGAACAAGAGTCGATATGGTCTGCCTGTACTGCAGGCCTTGCTTTAACTCACTGCACCACAGGGATGGCCCCTATTTTACTATATGAGAGGCAGAGAAACACACACTCACTCACACACACACACACACACACACACACACACACACACACACACACACACACCGTCTGGGCTGGACCATGAGAAGCCAGAGAACTTTACTGCAGTCCCTCATGTAGTTGCAGGGACACAATTACTTGAGCTATTACTGCTGCATCTCAGGCTGTGCCTCAGCAGGAAAGGGGAACCAGGAACTGGAGATAGGACCCATACTCTAGTACCCTGAGATAAGAGTGTATTAAAAACCAGAGCAAATGCCTGCCTCAGTTTCAGAAACTTAAAAATAAATTTCACAGGGTGGGTGTTGTGATGCCGTAGGTTAATCTGTGGCTTGAGACCCCCACACCCTTTATCAGAGTGCCAGTTTGTCTTGAGCACTCTGCTTCTGTTCCAGCTCTCTGCTAGTATGTCTGGGAAGCAGCAGTTGACGGTGCAAGTACTTGAGACCCTGCCACATATATGGAGGAGCTAGATGTCATTCTTGGCTTCTGGCTTCAGCCTGGCCTAGCCCTGGTTATTGAAGCCATTTGAGGAATGAACCAGCAGATGAAGATCTTTTCTATGTCTGTCCCTTGCTACTACTCTGCCTTTAGAACAAACAAACCATTCAATAGAAAAGATTTTGCTTTGATGTTTGTCTGTTTTAGGCTACATCAAATAATTTCCTTTAGAAAGAAAGTGAAGCCTCAAAGCTCATTTGAAATTAAACTTGAAAGTAGTTTCCGGAAGATAGAGGATTTGTATCATAATATGTGCTGATATTCCCTGATCCTTTGTTTTAAGCAGTGCATTTTGGGCCAGGAAGAGGCTCTCTCTCTGTTTTCTGAGCTACTGGTGTCTGCTTTTCACGAAGAGGTCATTGTATAACATAGACCAGGCTGATCTTCCAAGATTCTGTTCAGTAGATGTCTCTAATTTCCTCATGTGTTTTTATAGGTCACATTCCATCCCTAGAACATTCCATGGATCTGTCAGCAGCTTTGATTGGAGCAGAAATTAACGCTATCAGATAGACTGAGAAGAGCTTGGGGCTTTGTTGAAATGGCATATATCTTAATCAGATTTGGCTGATGACATCTTATACTATAATCTAACTCATGGAGAAATTACCTAGTCCAACTTCTCTTTTTGTTGAAATGAAAATGCCTAGGAAGGTGGGTGATGGGTTGTTTCAAGGTCCAGTGTGTCTGTGGTTTGCAGTCCTGGGCTCCCATGCATCTCTTATATGGCTTTCTGATAAAGTAGCTTTGGAGCCCAAGGAAGCAGGTTTTCCACTATTCCTTGGCAGAGCCAGAACATTCTGATACCATTCTGTAACACCCTTTTATTCCCATAGTGAAATCCTGGAGGTAAATAACTTGATGAAGAGGAAAGGTTGATGAAGCACCACAGCTTTGGAAGCCCAGGTTCACAATCAGGTGGCCCTGTTACTTTTGCCTCTGATGCGGACTGCAGATGGCAGGTGTAGAGCACACATCAGGGAAGGATAATGTGATAAGCCGGGAAGTAGAGAGATTGGGCTCAAGTCAGGCTTATACAACCACCTCTTAGGAGAACTAACTTCCAAGGGCACACCTCCATGGCCATCTTCAGGTTCCATCACTTTCCAATAGCACCACTGTTGGGGCTAGGCCTTTGGCGTGTGGGACTTTAGGGGACATTTAACACCCACTCTAGTATACAGACCATAGCCACTTGAGTGCACTGCAATATCTGCCGTATCTGCCAGTGCTTGGCTGCTAGAGAGTGGCAGTGGACTCATGAATACTGCAAGGACAAAGGTGACTTGGTAGGAGCCCGCATTCTACTGCCAGTTGGCCTGTGTCAAGTCTTGCTTTGTTCTGCATGTACTGAATGGCTTTGGGCAAGAACCATGTCTCTTTGTGCTTCTTCTGCTATAAGCATGAGGTCCTTGCACAACATCTCTCTGAGGAGTGAATGAGTGCATAGAAAGTGACCAGGAGGAGTGCTGGGTGTATTAGGTGGGAGTATACAGATATCTGAGTCATGAAAAGCATTAGAAAAATTCAGTGACATGGATTTGAATTAGAAGACAAGAGCACATCAGGATACATTGTACTGATGCCTGGCATTGCCAAGTGTCTTTTTGACTTCTTTTGGTTCTAAATGCACGTGTGTGTGTGTGCACGCACACATGTGTGCATATATGTGTAATGGCTCATGGTATAAAATGTATCTCTCCCTGAGAGTTGTAGTTAAAGGAGTTTGGAAGCCCCAGCTGCTGGGGCTGGGGTGGGTCAATTCACTTCCTTAAGCACTAGAATGCATGAATCCTGCCATAGGTGGGAATGTATGAGGTGAGCTATGGCTGAAAATGGAATGTGCTTCCTTTGCAGAGGGAGACCAAAGGGCAGTTTCTTATCGACCACATCTGCAACTACTACAGCTTGCTGGAGAAGGACTACTTTGGCATCCGCTATGTGGACCCAGATAAGCAGAGGGTAAGAGCTGTCCTCTGTCTGGACCCATAGTTGGGGAGCCAGCCAGACTGTGGGCCCTGAGGGCATTCCTTGCCTTGGCTTGTATGGAGTGTTGGCACCTGCAACTGAATGGCTAGTGGATGAGTGAGTGGACCAGGCTAGTGATGCCCATATTAGACTGGATGCATCAGGAGAAGGGAAGTCACTTTAGGCTTTTCTGAATAGGCTCGCTGAGAAGAGAGAACATTCCTGTGCCCTTTGAATCTAGGGTTTGCAAAGCTCTTCAGTAGTGGCTCCACTGAGTCCCCACAATGAGAAAATCCTTCATCCCTTACATGATAGTAGAAAGGGCAGTGGGAACAAGTCCTTAGTGGTTACGGAATTTTTGCTTTGGGGAAGGTTACAGGTTTTGAAAATGTCTAGGGTTTAATGTTATGTGATGGTTGCACAAAAAATATACACTTTAAAATGGTTAATTTTATGTTATGTGAATTTCACCTCATTTTTTAAGCCTTTGTTCAAGGAAGGATAAACTTGCCTTGGGAGCTTCTCCTTGGGCACAACAGCCCCCACTGAATTTTCACTCCAGAACACACTTGCCCTTTCTGTTATCTGTTGATGTGCAAGAGTGGGCAGGGGATTGTGGTCTTCTGAGCTAGTGTACCTGCTAAGTGTGTTCACACCTGCTATGTGCTAGATTCTTGGTGATGTGTGCTCCTTGTATCCAGAAGGTTTTTGGGAATCCCGTTCCCAGGCCCTGGAATTTCCTTTGTCTGTGAACCTGCTGTGGGGTCCCAGCTATGAGGCTGGGAAGCTTTGATGAGGTCATCTGGGCGGAGCATTTGGGAAGAATTGCATAAAATATGAATAAAACTTAGATTTGGGAACAGAAAAATTACTATGAGTTCATGTTATTTTTACAAAATAAATACAATGTATAGACACTTAAGCATGTATAGATGTGTGTTTATGGATGTATAGAACATGTACGTGCATTTTCATACTCTTTCCACTAAGAAAGCCTAGAAGAAATAACACCGCAGTAACAATGAGCACACCCAGCTCTTGGTTTCTAAATAGCATTTTCCCACAAAAGGCAGAATAGCTCCTTACGGAAAGAGCTGACCCTAGAGCTGGGAAACCACAAAACGAGCCTGGAGTCCCCTGGAGCACCAGGAACTGAAGAAGTGCTCAAAACCAAAAGACTGAGTGCCTTAGGAAAGGCACCAGGGTAACCAGTGGCTCAACTGGGAACAGCTGGAGAGACGAAAGGAAACAACAATAGTTTTGGATTATAATTTGTAAAATAAAATGCAGATGGTGATGAAGTAATTGAACAAGTAAGTAAAAGAGGGAGAAGAGGATCCTCTTCTTTTTTTAAAATTTATTTATTTTAATAATCTTAGTTGATTAGGGTACAAAAGGTCAAGGGCTACAGCGTGAAAGTGGGTAATACCATTGTTTCCACGCTAATATTATCATTTTTCCCTGTATCTGGGGTTAGGGGAGTAACAAAGGGAAAAGCCCCACCATCCCTCCCACCCATCCCCGATCCCCAACAGGAGGCGCACTTCAAGGGTCCTGCTCCAACAGTTTTGATAGTTCATCAGTTTTGGATTGCTGCCAATCTCACAGTTCCAATCACAATGAAACTATTCAGAGTCCACTGGCTGACATAGTCTGTTAATGGTTGGGGTTCTAAGATCAGCAGTTCAGTTGGAGGGATCTCCAAAGAAACTTCATCTGAGATGATCCCAGATCTGATTCTTGAGTGAGTTTGCTAGTACAGACTCCAACACCAGGATCCTCTTCTTTACTAAGAATTTAATGAATAATTATATAAGGAATGAGGGAAATAGAAAACGGCCATTAAGCCAACACAGGACTAATTACTGCAGGTAAAAGCTATTGATGAATACTGAAATCACTAGGTTAAGGTTTGATGAATAACAGTATATTTGCATAAAGCATTCTTTGTCCTCCATGATAATATGGTAGAGAAAGTCAAAGGCACCACTCTAAGCAAAAGTCCAAGGTTTACATTACCAATAGAAAGACATTGAGGTAATATCACTCCTGATATGAAGCACTCAACAACATATACCATTTTTGGTGTTCTTAATATTACACATCCTCATGAAGATTTTGAGAAAGCATCAGATAAACTCAAAGTGAGGGACACTCTAAAATAATTTGCCAGCGTTTTTCCAAAGTGTTGAGGTTGTAAAGGGTAAGACACTGGGACTGTTGCAGATTTCTGAGACACATTAACCAAAGGCATTGTGGAATCCTGTATTGGATTATAGAACAGGAAAATGTGTAAGAATGGTGAAAACTGGGTGAATTCCAGATTAAGCTTATTGATTAGTTAGTATGCTTGTCCTAATGCTGTATTTAAATAAGGTACTAATGTTAGGTACTAATGTTAAAGTGAGGCTAACTATTTTTGCATCTTTTATGCGTATGACATTATGGTTTACAAGTTAAAAAAGAAAAGTCTTTAGGTTGATGTGCTTCATTAGTCTTTATATTTTTGACTTCGTTTGGTTTGATTTTCAATGTCCAGACTTGAATAGATTAGAGGGACAAATAGGGGCCACTATCAAGATAAATTTTATCTGAAGACTGCTAACTTACTTAGCTAAATGCCTGAATGCTTTCTGTTTGTTTCATCAATAGTTGTTACAACCATGTGATTTTTTTTTAACTTTTAAAATGTGTATTTATTTTACTTGAAAATCAGAGTTAGAAGAGAGGGAGAGACACAGAGAAAGGGAGAGAGATCTCTCATTTGCTGGTTCATTCCCCAAATGGTCACAATGGCCAGAGCTGGGCAGTTCCAAAGCTTTGAGCCAGGGGCTTCCTCTGGTTCTCCAACGTGGGTGCAAGATCCCAAAGCTTTGGCCATCCTCTACTGCCTTCCTTAGCCATCAGCAGGAAGCTGGATCAGAAGTGGAACAGCCAGGACATGAACCAGCGCCAATATGGGATGCTATCACTATAGGCAGAGGATTAGCCTGATACGCCACCATGCCAGCACCCAAAATATTTTGATTTGGAGGACGCAATGTGAGGGCAATTTTTGTATGAATTGCAGCGTAGTTGCTGCACAAATTTGCATCTATTTTAAAGATTTAAGAGATTTCTATTTATTTGAGAGGAGTGAGAGAATGAGAATATTAGCATTCCCTTCCATTGGTTCATTCCTCACGTTTCTGTATTGGTTGAGGCCAAAGCCTGTACTAGGAATTCAATCCAGTTTTCCCACGCCAGTGGCAGAAACTCAACTACTAGAACCATCAGCTGATGCTTGCCAAGTTTGCATTAGCAGGAAGATGGAGTCAAGAGCAAGAGTTGAATTTTGGACCCAGATACTTCAGTGTGGCGGATGAGGATCTCAATCGCTAGGCTAATTGCCTGTTGCTGCATTCAGAGTCTCCAAGATATGAATTAGAGATCCATTCTCTACTGGATAGTAAGCTATATGACCTTGATCTCTGTGTGTCTCTGTCCAGATGGAAAAGACAGAGCATGTGAGAATTGGAGATAAGGTTATAAATGCTTAATGGTATATAATGAGAATATTGTGTGTGTTACTTTCACTGTTTATTTATTGTTATTTTATTACAGTTATTACGCACTGACAGGGTGTAAGTTAGGCAGTTGCATGAAGAAACATAGCCACAACTGGCACTTCTAAAACCTAAATAAAGTTCAAAGCAGTTAAAGAATTATTTATCTTTATTATTTATTATTATAATTATTTTTACTATTTATAATTATTATTGATTATTTATTTTTTATTTGAAAGGCAGACTTAACAGATAGAAGGAGAGATATAGATAGAGATCTTCCATCTGCTAGTTCACTCCCCAAACGGCTGCAATGGTGCAATGACTTTGCCATACTCCATTGCCTTCCCAGATCATAAGCAGGGAGCTGGATCAGAAGTAGAGCATCTGGGACTTGAAGAGACACCCACATGGGATGTTAGTATTGCAGTTGGAGGATTAGTCTATTATGCCATTGTGCCAGATCCACAGCAATTTCTTTTAAATGAAGTTGTGGCACCTCTGATCTTCAGAGAGAGGAGACAGGAACAAATCTTGAATAATCAGAAAAATGGACTCAAATGCATGATAACTTGCTGGTATGGGATTTTTCAGCATAGATAAATTGAGCAACAGATATTTCTTTTGACCAGCTCTGTAGTTTTTCTCAATGGCAAGTAAAAGCAATAAATTTTTAAGAAGGCAAATCCCCAAAGGAACCCAGGTAGTTAGAGAAACTGAAGGAGTATTTAGTTTACTGTAGGACTGATGGTTTGCCTACACCTGTTCATAACTCCACTTATGGTAAACAATTGTGGAATATTAAATATTTAGCAGTATTCCATTTGTAATGCCGTATGTCTGGCAGGATGTCTTCTGACTCAAATGCTCTGAAAGTGCTGAGGACTGAGTCAGTTAATGATCATTGTATTTTACTATTTTATTAATACAGGCCAAGACTTTCCACATTTATTGTCTGCAAAGGATAGATTGGATACCTGTCAATAAAAGCCTCCCTCCCACCCCCGTGTTTCCATTCCATTTACATTCTGAGAATGGACATATGATCTTAGTTGCTTAAGATTAGGGAAAAGGTGGGTGATGTTCTCACCATTTTACTGATAGAGCAATTGGGGCCAAAGGTTTGAAGTTGAAGAAGTAACTTCAGGAAGAAAAGGTAGCTTGGTTCAAGCTAAAATTTCTTCTTCTTCTTCTTTTTTTTTTTTTTTTAATCTAACATATTCTTTCCTCCACTTGATCAGATATTTGGGCAACTTCTCTTGGGAAAAGATGAGTTTTTGAAGTAGTTAGTAATTCTACAGCTTCCATTTCTGTGGTTGTGGTTTAAAATGTTCATTGTTTTATGGTTCCCTTTTATTTTTTTTTCAAGATTGGTTTATTTTTATTTGAAAGGCAGAGTTAGAGTTTGAGAGAGAGGGAGATACAGAGGGAGAGATATCCTCCATCTGT